GCAACAACAAAAGCGATTCTCATAATCTACTTTTCATTCACCAACAGTTGTTAAAATTTGGAGAATTCTCTATCAAATTTCAAACTATTCTACTTAGGACACATTTTCTCATTTAAAGCTTAAATTAAAACAGCTACTTCTTCATATTTATATATACCCAAATTATTTTCCATATATTTTGACTTTTAAAATCACAATTGAGATGATTTTAGTTATTTAAAATATTGTACCACTTTACTGGTAACAAATACCAATGAAATGAACAATAAAGGCCTCACGTAATAGTGCTGCGCAGCCCTAAGGTCAACCAAGTGATTGGATCTTCATGCTTGCTTGGCTAACAAGCACACATGGTTGTAAAAATAGGTAGTTGGTCTGAATGATTCTGCTGTATTTACACAAGTATGGTCACTAGCATAATGTTACTTCCTAGCAACCACAGGAATTGACGAACTAGAAAGAAAAGCACTTAATTTCTAACTTCATCTGGTCTCTAGGTCTTAAAACTTAGGTTTTTTTTTTTTTGGCAGAACCAGGGATTGAACTTAGACCCTTACGCTTCTGGGGAAGCGCTTATTCTACTAAACCATCTTCCCAGCCCCATTAAAACTTAAGTTTTAATGATACCAAAGCTACATAACATTATATTTCTATTTCTACATATTAATGTAATGCTTAATGCTTAAAGATATATAACATGCTATTAAACAGCTAAATACTTGTTTTGCCTGATATAAAGATACATGCAATAAAAAATTCTTCAGTTTGATAAAATATTAACATTTAAACTTCATTTTGGAAGTACCAGTAACAGGCTTTGTGGTTGTTACCAATTTCTAAAAATCCTTTAAGCCCCCCTCCATCCAGAATTTCCTTTCCCATTTTACTAATTATTTTCATCAAAGGAATTCTAAAGAAAAAAAACATGTTCTGCTGGGTGTGGTGGTTTATGCCAATAATCCACCTACAGGGGAGCTGAGGTAGAAAGATGAAAAGTTTAAGTCCAACTCGGGCAATTTAACAAGAACACATCTGAAAACAAAACATCAAAAACTCAGGGCTGGCATATAGCTCAGTAGTATAGTGCTATGCTAGCACCCAGTAATCCCTGGATTCAATCCCCAGTACAAAGGGAGAAAGGGGTAAAATCTAGCCACTAATATTAGTCTCGTGATTTTTTTGAGATTTAAATTATTCCCAGAAATTTATGAACACTGAAGATTTTGGGGCCTTGGAGATGGCACAGGGGTCTAAGCACCTGAGTAGGCAAGCGCAAGGACATAGGTTTGATCCCCGGTATCACATGCCTGTGCTGGCCCTTGCCCCTGCCCCTGCCCCTGGGTGTGCTAAGCTGGCAACTGAGTACAAGAGTGGTGGCGTGGTGGCACATGCCAGTAATCCCAGCATCCCAGTACTAGGGAGGCTGAAAACAGGAGGATCATTATGAGTCTGAGCTGCGTAGTGAGACACTGTACCAAAAACACTTAAAAAAAAAAAAAAAAAAACTAATAAAGATTTTCAATTAAATTCTTAAGACATTAAATCACCTTATAATTAATCCTAAGAAATTCCTGCAATATTATAATAATTGTTACAGCTTATATTTAAAACACATTGTCTAGGTGAGGTTAATTTTTTTGTTTTTGGTGTTGAGGACCAAACCTCAGGCTTCCAGAGTGCTATGCAGTGTTCTACCACTGAGCCAAACACCCAAGCCTCTAAGACAAATTTTTCTAAACTAAGAATTTTTTCATTTACTTTGCATGTGTAAACCCGATTTCAATGTTTATAATTATTAGAGGCAGCTAAGTTAGAACAGAAATTAATGCACAGAGGGACTGAGCACTCCAGGAAGTTAGTGAAAAATAAAGACAATAGAATTGTGGCACGAGGTACATCTGAAGGCCAGGCCTCAAGATAAAGTCACAATGGCCAGCCTTGAATGTAACTGAATAGCACGCAGTTCATTAAGCCCAGATATGCAGACACTCTGGTGGATAACCACAACACCTTGATCCAATCCTTTCCCAAATGTTCCTATTTTAGAAGCCATACATAAGCCCATGGTTAATGATTACACTCATATTCCTTTGTTGGTAACCCACTAAATGGCTGTGCTTGTGATCCTATAGGTTGATTATAGTTTGACTCACATTGTACCCACACTGTAACTTTGTTACATAAATTACTCCTGACAAAGGCCTCCTGCAGCAATCCACTAGGGTCCCTCTGTCTCTCAGGAGATGTTCCTAGTCCCCAATACAACTTTTCCTGTTCTTAACTTACTTTGTCCTTTGGAATTCATTCTTCAAATTCAGGGGACACAAACTCACCACACACTTTTAATTAACAATTCCTTAATGTTATCAAATATTTTGTCATGGTTAAAAATTTACTTGTTTCATAAATATTAAGTAAATTTTATATTCTAAGTGTACGCTTTAAATTTAAAAAATGAACATATATAACTGGCATCTAAGAAAGAAACAGAAACTGCCTATTTTTTTAAAAATACTTTTTAAAAATCAGGATCCAAATATGGCTATTCTTTACAATTAGTTGATAGCCTCTTTCACTGTTGCTTATATAGTTTTTAAATTAACATTAAAATTAAGAATAGAAAACAACCTACAAGCACAAATAACTTCACTGGTGAAGATCAATGTTGCACAAGGATGGAACACTAGCCAAATCCCCCTAGGAGATGAGCATAATCCTGACACAGAAACAAGACAAAATTCAGGAAGAGAAAGTTTCAAATCAGAACTCCTAGGATCTCTGACAAGTACAAGGAGCTGAGTTTGATTGCTGGGTACCAAAAAAAGCAAAACAAAAGAGAACTCCTAGGATCTGAAGACTCAACATCCCATAACTGTACACACGTAAAACCCAGCACACTCATCTCTGATCAAGTGGGGCTGAACTCACATATTCTAGGTGGTTTTAGATTTTTATGAAACATATAATATGTGATTACAGAATAAGAGAGAAATATAACTCAATAGAAGTATTTATTTAAAAAGCAAGACAAAATCCAAATACCCTCAGGAAATCAGAACTTTGGAACTGAGACAAAAGGATCACAAATTCTAGTCCAGCCTGGACAACTTAATTACTAATTTAAAAAAAAAAAAAAAAAGAGGGTACTAAGGATGTAGTTTAGTGCAAAGGCCCTGGGTTCAATCCCAGTACCACAACACAGAAAACTTTCTTAATCTGGGGGTGTGGTGGTGCACTCCTGCAAGCCTAGCATTTGGGCGATTCAAGCAAGAGGACTGCCTATAGTTCAAGGGCAGCCTTAACCATATAATGGAAACCCCATCTTAAGAAAAGTCCACAAAACAGCAAGAACAAGAACAGAAAACAATAACAAAAACTTCCAGCAACAGTAAAAACAACAAAAAAACAAAACAAAATCCAAAACGAAGAACACAAATCTTTCTCAAACTGACAAAAGATGTCTTCAAAATCCTTGTAGCCAACAGTACAGTGGTATACTGTATGTTCTCACTTCCTTTAAGACTCAGATGACTCTTGTAACCACTATTTTTTATTTTTTTTGTATTTTAGGGAAGAGTCTACAGGGTGTTCACGGTCTCACTACTAGATCAGACTCATAGTGATCCACCTGTTTACAGCCACCTGGGATTACAGGTGTGTGCCACCACACCCAGTCTCAATTGCCTTCTCAGCATGCCCCAAGGATGGGGCCTGCATGGCATGCTGGGGATTAAACCTGGTGGCTGCACCTGCCTAAGCAAGGGCTTTAACCCACTGCGCTATCTGACTGGACTGTCACCACTTTTAGTCACTACTATATGGTAGGTCTTAACTAGCTTAATGGACAAAAAGCTTTAAAAAAAGAAAATGGGGGAGAAAAAGATCAAACTGATTTTGAGCTTGTATGAGCTCAGACCCATTAATACAAATCTACTGTATTTCTCTATACAAGCAAGAAAAAAATAGGAAGATGGGACTTATAAATTCTACTGATAACTTGAACTACTCACACTTAAATGTAACAAATATATATACAACCTCTTAATTGAAACTACAAAGTATAGTTACAAAAGAGGATCAAATTTTATGGAGAGGTATAACATTAAGATAAGAATCATTCTTCCCCAATTTTTTAGACTAGCCCAGAGCCCCAACCAAGATTTCTTTCAGTTATATCTTTATTTTTTGAAAGAAACATGTATAGCTAATTTAAAAAAATTATATGGAAATGCAGAGGACAAAGAAACACCAAAGCAATCATGCAAAAGAACAACAAAGTTGGAAGACCAAGGCCTTACTATACACAGTCAAGCAATGAAGACCAACTAGTACTCGCTGGTACTGAGTAAAGAAGTAGAACAATGAACAAGTCCAGGCAATATCTGACAGCTGATTTTCAACAATAGCACAGAAAATAATTCAAAGAGATCAGACAGTTATTTCAATGAATAATGGTGAAAACAAGTGGTTATGGGTAGAGGCGTATGTTATATACAAAAAATGAAATTATGTATAGACAAAAATATAAGAACTAAAGAAAACATAGGAGAATATCTGCACAACTTTAGGAGAGCCAAAAATTTCAACAATGAACAAAAGCAAATATGAGAAACTGAAATTTATCAATATAAAATTCTGTTCTCTGAAAGACATGATTAAGAAAAAAATATACAAATGTTAAGCAAATGTTAAACACAAGATTTTTATTTAGAATATATAAAAGACTACTATAAATCAATAACAAAAGGACAAATCAATTTGAAGAATGACATAAATTAAAAGAATTTAAAGAATACAATTTAAAGAATATATCATGAAAGATAAGTGGCCAATAAGGACATAAATCATGTCCAATATCACTAACCAACAAGGAAATGCAGGGCCGGGGAGATAGCTCAGTGGAATAAGCGCTTCCTTGGCAAGCACAAGGGCCTGAGTTCAATCCCTGGTTCTGCAAAACAAAACAAAACAAAACAAACAAAAAAAAAAGTGCTCCTTTGATCCTTTGGTTCATGAGCGTGATGACTGGGTGTTTATACCTTATGCGTGAGATGTGCCTTCCTTCAAACCTTGTTACGATGTGGGCACATTACCCGTCTAACGTGGGAAAAAAAAAGTACTGACATTTATTCTACATGCTCATAACAAGGAAATGCAGTAAGGACGCATTAATTCACAAGATTGTTACAATTAAAACAGATGTAATAATGCAACTACTATGTATTTTAAACATGTATTAAAAAAACAGAAAAAATATGTAACACTGGCAAAAATGTAGAAAAACTGAGTTTCATATATTGCTGACAGGAATGTAACAAGGTGCAACCAGTTTGGAAAAGTTGTCAATTTCTTATGTTTCACCTATCATATAAATCAACAAGCTCTTTCCTGCATCTTCTCCCAAAATAAATTAATGACTTATTCATTTCCCTAAAATACTTGTACATGCTTGTGCATGTTTATTATTCACAATGGCCCCCTACTAAAACAGAATCAAATGCCTATCAACAAACTATTGCTATTACAAGTTGTATAACCATAAAGTAATAAAAATGAATGAAGTGGGGCCGGGGAGATGGCTCAGTAGAATAAGGGCTTCCCTGGCAAGTGCAAGGGTCTGAGTTCAATCCCCGGTTCCACCAAAAAAAAAAAAAAAAGAAAGAAAAAAAAAAAAGAATAAAGTATAGACAGCGGTAAATCTCAAAACATCATGGAGTAAAGGGTGAGAAGTATGGTATCTTTTATTATGGAATTCCAGCCTGTGATAGAGATAAGGGACTTTGCAAAGGAATGTAAAGGAATTTCCTTGGTGATAGAAACATTCTGTACTAAAAGCAGATATGTTTATTAAAACTCATAGAATTATAAACTTAAAATCTATGTTCTTCATTGTATGTAGATCTTAGCCCAATAATGTTGATTTAACAATCTACAAATCTTGTCAACAAGTAGAATTTTAAACACTGTTATCTAGTGCTCCCTGAGCAGCACATATATACTACAATCTTTAGTCAAGATGAGCTAGAAGGAATTTCTAGAAATTTATAGAGCTGGACTCATGCTAAATGCAGTATTTTAAGAAAGGCAATTAAGGCAATATACCTTTTAAAAAAAATAAATGCCTCGTTCAAGACCAGCACCTAACGTCTACAAAATGAAACAGACATGAGCAAAGCTCACCACTGCCCACCACTGGAGCCATATTCTTCCACCATGGTTGTGTGTGGCCTCCTAGCATCCTACTACTGTACCAAAGTGATCTTGGAGATCACCAGGCCAACTCCTCACTGTACATGTAAACGGACACTGAGAAAGGTTTACAACTTATGAAGTGAGAAATGAAGCTGTGAGAAGACAAGTTAAATAACATTACAAGAGATTATACTTTGCTCTGCATTGGGCTCCAATAGAACAAAGTAAGAATCAAAATGCTAAATTTTCTATGATATTAAAACAAAACTAAGCTGTTTATCTCACTTTTCAAGAAACCAGGGGAAAAAACAGAGATAACAATCAAATTTGCAAAAGGGTAGTTTCTTCTAACTTAATCCTTGTACGAGGAAAATTAATCTGAAATAACTTGATGTTTAACCAGCTTTTTCTACTGTTTTCAAAGTAACTTTAAAATAACCAACCTAATTTGTGTTTATTTCTGCCACCGTCAGCTTATTTTTATAATTTCAACTTCCTCTGCTTTACTCATTTGAACACTTATTTTACTTTACTCATTAAAAAAAAAAAAATTAATGCTAATTAAGATATTTAGCTTGGGCTGGCCAGACAGCTCCGCAGATTAAAATGCCTACTTAGGCAGAGCACAGCAACTGGGGTTCCATCCCCAGTGTGCCCTGTCGGCCCCACCCTCAGGGTGCACTGAGACAGTGACTGAGACTGGGTGTGGTGGCCCATGCCTGTAATCTCAGCACTTGGGAGGCTGAAAACAGGAGGATCACCACGAGTCCGATCTGTATAGTGAGACCCTGTAGACCCTGCACTAAACACTTTAAAAGAAAAAAAAAGATATTTAGCTTAAATTTTTTTTCTGACAGGCTCAAATGATGTTATTCAGTCCCAAAACTAAAAAACTAAAATGACTGCCTTTCTCATCTCTTATTCTTGTTGTAAGAGTTAAATAATTTAAGCATGCTGGAAAAAAATAAAACCCCTACAATAATTCTATTATAAATTCAGATAAAATACTAAAAATCTTTTCCTTCCTGGGATATTATGCTATAAGAAATATTCATTTGGTCTTTAGTCAGGTCCCTGGAACACAGCTCCTAAAACCCTAGAAATTCTCAGAAAGGGGTGAAGTGGGGAAGTTGTCTGTTATTCATAGTAAGCCCCTGTCAAACACACCAGAGTTTATGCTGACAAGATGAAGGACTCTAATCAGTTTTAGCATGGAGTATGATTGTTAGAGGAACCACTGTGTGACTAAGGAGGGTTGGATCTCCAACCCTCCCCCTGACCTCTGTGAGGGGACTGATCACCAGGGCTGCAGTTGCAGCTAATCACTAATGGTGGATAATCATCATGCCAATAGAAAGGACCTCCATAAATACTTCAATCAGCAGTTAAGAGGCCTTCCAAAATGTTGAACACAGAGTTGCCACAAAGATGGCAGGCAGAGAAGGAAGGACAGTTCTCATGTTTTCCTCTAGTTACACTTTCGGTATTTCTTATAGTAATTTAACTGGTTTCCTAAATTTGGAGAAGTGTTTTACAATATTATCAAGCCTGAGAAAAGGGTCTGTGGAAGCAGTCAGGTATATCCTTTCAGTCAGAAGTACAGGAATGTATTTGGCAATTAACATCTGAAGTGGGGATAATCTTGTGGGACAGAATCTCTAACTTGTGGGGTCTTCACTAACTCCACTATTAAAATTTAATTAAATCACTGGCTACCCAGTAGGCATCCAGAGATTTGGTGAGCTGGTGGCTGGGGTAGGAAAAAGTGCTAAAAGTGTCATGAACAGAAACAGAAACAGACCTAGGATATTTAGTATTACCTAATGCACAAGAGTTATAAAGACTTAAATAGACACTATACATAGTACACGACAAGTTGGCCAATATCTATAGCCATTAAATGAGTGCAAATAAAAGCCACTTTGAGATGCTACCATGCACATACCAGAATGAAGTAAGAGAAAGTGGAAAAGAGGGGGTGGGGAGGAGGAAGAGACTATTCCTTCTAAGAAAATGAAGTAGTACGGTTGTTATGGTTTGTGTCTAGGTGTCCCTCCAAAGCCTCATGAAGTCATGGGGTAGCTTCTGGAGCTTGTGATTAATTTATGACCCAATGCTGGGATTATGAGTGTGAGTGCGACACCCATCCTGGTGTGGACAGCCTGAATACAATATAAGGAAGGGAGAGAGGCTTGCTAGCTACCACAGTTGCTGCTGCTCATTTTGCTGTTTTCTACCCCCATAACTGCTGCCCTCTCTCATGTGCCACCCTGTCTTAGAGCCAGATGAGTATGGACTGAAACCTCCACAAACTGTGAGCTAAAAGAACTTTCTTTCCTTGATTTTGGGAGTTGGGTATTTTGGCCCATCAATGAGACAAAAGTAACTGAGACACAGGTAGAAAAACTGAAAGTCACTGTTGGTTACAGCACAAAATAATAATGACACACTTATTAGAAATCTGCATAGTACTTTCTTACACACACCTATAGTTTAAACCAGAAATTCCTTCTTTGCCATTACCTAAATAATATAAAAATCTTACATTCACACAAAAAATGTTCCGCTAGCAGCAATTTTATGTGTTTCCAAACTGGAAACAATCCTCCATATTCTTTAACTGGGGAATGGATAAAGTAAAGAGACAGAGTCATCTAGTGATAAACACAACCACATGGATAAATCACAAAAGAATCCTATTAAGTGAAAGAAGCTAAACTCATAAGGCTACACATCAAATGACTCTATTTCTATATAATTCTTTTTTTAAAAAAAGTAAAATATAGAACTGAGGAGCAGAAAATAGATCAGTGGTCTTGAAGAAAGACAATGAGACAGAGGAAATGACTATAGGAAGGCTCTGCAATTCATGTAAACTGCAAAACAATTTCTCAAACACACTGGTATGATTTGCAGAACCAGGAAAAGCTCTACTCAGCAGGCAACAGTAATTTCAATAGTAGGAATGGGTCTTTCAGGCAGGGTCTATGCCAGAGACAAAGGTAAACTCCCATCAGTTAACTGGCATTACTCTTATTCTGTGAGAAGAAGAGAACTCAGTGGATGATTTTGCTAACCTACTGACAGATCATATCCCAGATTCATTACTAAAATCTAATCAGGCCTGAAACATCTTTTATTTTCTGTTTTGAATGTTTTTGTCTCCAGCAACTCTACATGTTTCTATATTGATATGTCCTGGTCTTCATAATTAGATATTACATTTGTTTTCAAGTTCACAGTTAATTCACATTAAAGAAATAACAACCATAATTCTGTTTAATCTCTAAATGTACTGTGAAAGCTAGTGTTAAATTAACTAAAAATATCAAATCTCTCCTATGGCAAAAAACACACAATAGGAAAAATGTTTTTCATATCTTCCACTAAGTTAGAAACATATCTTTCATAATGAGAATAAAACATTATTTAATATTCATATAAAGGTCACAAACAAAAGCGAACTGTCAAATTATTTTGCTACCTCAAAATAATTATTTTTTTTCACAAAAAGAAAACACTAAGTTTAAAAGAGGGCTTTTCAAAGTGGCAAGGAATGGCCATGACTCATTCACATGGCTGACACTGACAAAGGATCTACAAACTGCGGTACAGGGTTTCAGAGTAAATCCTGAGAGGATTTGACTAACCCTGTCAGATAAAAGTTTCATTTCTTGTTATAGGTCTTGCTTTACTTGGTCTTAACCATCCAGCAGAAAAGTATAAAAATGTAGCATAAAAAGGAAAGTCATATTAATATGCTAAGCTGTAAAAGGCAACTCAACAACTTCTGACATTGCCAGTCCCACAGATAACCCACTACTATTATGGTCTACTAGACCATATTGGATTATTTTGCTGAATTCACATCCCTACAATATGTAAATGGCAATGGAATACCCAAGGTGATA